TGCCCAGTGCGCATGCGCAGTGCCCGCTGCAGCGGCGGCCCGCGGGCGGCAGGCGGCGGCGGCGAACCGGGCCCCGGGGCTCCCCCCGGCCCAGAGACACCCCGGGAAACCCACACCGCCGGGAAAAAACTGATTATTCCTCATCTTTTCTTGGCTGCCCGTCCAGTGGGAGCGCCTCAGAAACAAGTGTGTGCCGTCCCCCGTGTCCCAGGAAGAGCTCTCCTAGGTAAAAGCACCGGGAAATAGGCCTTGGCGTGGTGTGTTTGTCCCTGCTGTAGGAAAAAGGGCACAGCAAGGGCACAGCACTCCCTGCTCCAAAGGCAGCTCCTGTCTCTGCCGTGAGCTTGTCTCCGTGAAAAATTAAATAAATGCTCGTAGCCATTTGGAGAATCAATGATGACGAAGGGAAGTAAAGGATAAGACAGTGCTGGGAGAGGCTTTGGGATGTGTGGGGCTGAGCTCGGGAGGGGGCAGTCACTGCCAGCAGTGCAAACACACAGCACACAGCACAGGCGGGGCCTGGCAGCGCCACTCGGACAAACTTCTCTGCTGTGCTTTGTTTCGGTGACTCGGCCCATCAAACGCTGAAGCTGACAGGCCCCCGCTGTCCCCAGCGCTGCATCCGGCTGCTGTGGAGCACAAAGGTAGCCCCAGGGATGACCGCAATGCCAGCACACCCTCCCGCCCAGCACACAGACACCGCTGCAGCTCCTGTGTGCGGCTGACAACGCTCAGCAGATCAAACACGGCCCTGATTCTATCCTACAACACGGGCCCAGAGGTTCTCCTGCCCAGGGCTGAGAGGAATCTGACCCAGTGTTAATAAATAAAGGAAATCCCCCAAGGACTGTATGCAGTCACCTAGGACTTTTCCTCTGGAATCGTGGGTGCCTGTCTGTGGAAGTGTTCCCAGCATCCACGGAGGGTTCAGGGGCTTGGTTGGGTTGTTTACGGCTCATCCTGACAGGTCCAGGCCAAATCCAGCCACCCCCACCACTGCTGCACCCCCAGTTTCAGGGATAAACTGATATGGTTCTTAAAGACTTCCCTTCCCTGCAACTCAGCCCCTCACCACACATCCCCGAGTGAATTTACTCCCTCCTTTCTTCCCAACTCCTCCCCAGGACAAATCCCACTGACTGCATTGGCGTTCATAGAGGGAAAGCTTTCCAGAGGAGAAAACCTGCAAGGCCAGGAGAATGAGCCCTGCCAGCTGCCAGGAACCCCTCAGGCCAGACTCTTCTCCTGAACAGCGGGGGCTCAGCAGGGAGCAGTGAGACCTGTGCTCGGGTCTGTGAGGCTAACCCTAACCGAGACATTTCAGCCCTGCTTCTCTGCAGAGGCGGGGAGCCAGCCCCATGTCGCTGCACAGAGACACCTAACATCCAAGAAGGTGGAGAAGGTCCAGGGGAAAGCTACACTCTGCCTCCCAGTATTCTACAGTGGCACTCTGTGTCTGCCAGGAGAGAAAACAGCGGCCCTCTGGCCCGAGTCGGTGTAGTGCAGAGCTCCTCTGCAGCTAGCTTCCCAAAAACCCCTCAGGAGGAGCCTCCCTGCGCACAGAGGAGAGGAGGTTCAGCCCCCAAGAGAGCCCTGTTACCCTTAAACCTCAGCTACAAACCCAGAGAAGCACCCTGAGATCAGTCCCTGCCTCTGCTGACCTTGGCCCTGCCCTCACTCACCTACTGAGCTCTGCTGTGCTGAGGGGTTCCTGCAGAGCAGCCCCACAAATAACATGGGAATAACAGCGGCTGCACAGCGGGCTCCAGCTCACAGGGGAGCAGAGAGGCAGCCCAGGCACTCTCCATCGTGATGTTGGGTTCCTTTAGTCCCTTCTGGGAAATGGAGCTGGAAGCTGTTGCTGTGCAAGAGCCAAGGTGAACACGATTCCTCAGGGGAATGAGGTCTGGCTGCAGGAGCCTCCTTGGGATCAATACTGGCCCCACTCACAGCTGTCTCCAAAACCATTAAACACAAGTGCGCTTACCAAAGAGGACACAAGACATCACTGACCAGTTAACTCCTCCCTGTTTGGACCCAAGCAACCCCTTCCTGGATGAACTGCCCAAATTCTGTGTCCCAGGTGTGGACTGCAAGGCTCCCATTATTTTCCTTGGAGCAGGTTAGACAGGACTTGGAGCAACCTGGTCTAGTGTAAGTTGTCCCTGCTCATGTCAGAGGGGTGGAATGCAGTGATCTTGCAGGTCCTTTTCAAGCAAACCATTCCAGGATTCTATGATTCTATGAAGAGTGGATTCTGTATATTAAAAAAAAAAAAACAACAAAAAAACCCAAACCCAAAAAAACCCCCAAAACACCAGTTAATGTAAAAAAAAGTGCATTAAATAAAAAGAGCTTTTGTCTGAACTAAGAGCTTGAAACAGGATAGCACATGAGGTATTGCAGTAGCTGAACTAGGCAGCACATGTGTTCCCACAAATGCTACTTAAAGATGTTTGACACGTGCTATTAAATTATCCCATAATCATCTCACTACACACACACAAAAAAAAAGGAAAAATTCCATAGGACAAGGAAGCTGCTCAGTGGCTCTACCGTTCACCAACTATGCTGACAAAGTAAGTGCTATAAAAATGTTTTTCAGCTCCTCGTAGCAAGGTTCCCCCCCAAACTACTATTTATGGCAGTTGTTAATTTATTTTCCTCAAGAGGCCAGAAAAGCACACAAGTGAGTGCTCGAAGACGTAGACACCAGGGAAACAGAGTGGAGAAAGGGCAAGAACAAAAAAATCGGAGGGAACCTACGAGATAGGGTAATATGTGACTGCAAAGCCCAGAATTCCCGAGGCAGACTCGCTTTTCACAGCGAGCACACGCTGCGACAAGTGCGAGAAGGCAGAGCTCAAAATAAAAGCCTAAAGCCAAAAATTGCACGAGCTCTGCCTGAACCGCCCTTGCCAGGGGCTTTTGGGGAGTGCATCAATACAAAGCTCAAAGTCTTTTTGGAGACAAGTTAAACATCCTGCATGAAGGAGCGGGGCTGCCAAACACAGATTTCGGGGCTGTGCCTCGGCCAGGGTGGCGGAGGAATGTCCTTTCCTCTGGGGAGCCGCCGCTTTTGGTTTTCCTTTCCTCACCTGCCCGAACGCGCCAGCTCCATACAACATCCTCTTCCTCCCTCTCCTGCTAAAGGATGCTCCTTCCAAGCATTCAGGAGCGCAGGACACACCCAAATCCTTTTGAGGGACCTGGAACAAGACACACGCCCCCGGCAGGGGAGACTGGAGGGTGAAAAAGGATGGGAAGGCTTTTTTTCCTCTCAGAATGTCAATGCATGTCTCCCAAACCAGGGAGCAGGGGGACAGAGCCCGCTGCACTCTGCTGCGCCCCCTGCATCCCCTTCCACAGCTCCACGTGAATTTACACCTCCTCTGAAGGCAGCAATAGTCTGGAAAGGAACCTGGGAATCCTCTTTAGCTTCTTTGGTTTCTGGCTTTTTCTCCAGCACCACAGCGGTACCTCCGAGGTGGTTGAAAAGCACAACAGAAAAACGGAAAAAACACCCACAAAAAATTAATTTAATTTTTGAATTAAAAATAAAATAAAATTACCATATCCTCAGGCCCTCAGTCCCCCCGCCACTGCTAAGCAAGCCCAGTGAATTCCCTTGAAGAAGGGTGTCCAGCAGGTCCAGGGGGTGTCTGCTGCATTCCCTGACCCTGCCCTCCCTGTCACAGAGCTCTTTGTTTCAGTAGCGTGACGATGTTTTAATGATTACTGCAACAGCAAAACATCACTTCCATCCCTCCCACCCCAATGAGAGTTTGCTGTCAGGACAGATGACACCAGTACCTTTTTTCCTCTGAAGGGATGCAGTGGCAGCACGTTCACTCCTCCTTTGCCTGCCCGGGGAGCTCCACACCCCTGCCCGGGCTGGGGCAGCACCTGCCAAGGTTCTGATTGCATTGTCCCACCGAGGTGAACCGAGCACCGACCACTGACATCCACGCGTGCCTCACTGCCAGCGCCTGGGTTTTGTCACTCACAGCCAGCCCGGCTGGAAGTGCCGGGAGCACAGGACACCCCAGGGCTCGGTTTGGGGGCGCACACGGCCCTTCAGCCCCGCTCCACCCCATCACCCACAGGAACCAACCCCACAGGAACACCTGGAGCAGCCCCTTTCACAGCGCTCGTTTTCCTCCTTCGGGGAGGAGGAGGAGGCACGGACAAGGCAAGAGATCACAGAATCAGGTAATAAAATGAAACACAACTATTTTATTCCAGCTTCCCCATCCATCCCCTCCACGGAGCACGCGTGTCTGGCCAGGGGCTGCCAGAAGGATGGCAAAGAACCACGATTCAAATGGAAACAGCCATTTGTGCCGCGATCGGATGCGGAGAGGAGGCGAATTATTGCAGCCGGACGCTGGCAGGGCTCAGGTCCTGAGGGGTTCTGCCCACCTGGGCCCACCTGGGCCCCTATTAAGGCTTCACGGGTGAGGTTCAATGCTACCAGTGCCTGTACGTACAGCGACAGAGCTGACCACCCATCACCAACTCCATGTGCACGACTACTCCACGGGTCACACCACGACAGAGAAACAATTCAGCATCAATTCAACCTGGGCGGGAAAACACTCCCGGGGGGACAAGCAGCTGTAACAGCATTTATTGCCACATCGCCACGCTCACTGCCAAATAAAAACCTTGCTCCCTGCCTCTGCAAACGTGTTGAGAGCGATAAAATAAATCAGCAGCAAAAACTGTTGGACGAAACCGGCGGGCAGCTGGGGGCCACAGGCATCCCTGTCCTGTGGGGATGATACCTGTGGAGGGGCTCCTCCAGGGAGCGGGAACGCCCCGGCACCAGGGCAGAGGTATTTTAAAGCAGGCATCGAATCCATACTTGGATGGACAGGAAGAGCCTCGCTCCTGCAGCTGTCCAGGGAAGAACGGGAGAGACGGCCAGGAGCGGGCCGCAAACAGGCACCCTCCTCCCCGAGCCTGCAACCCTCACAAAATATGTACACACACGGCTATTACTGCCAGCAAAAAGAGTCTGAAGATCACCTCGCGCCACAGATAAGGCGACTGAATTTGCAGGGCTTGGTCTCTCTGTTTTATTTGTGGAAAGGAAGAGCTGGCCTCTGAGAGAAGGGAAAGGGACAGACCTGGATATATATACGGTGCCTGAGGTATGGTCGGAGGAAAAAGTGCAGCAAGAAGGAGATGCAAGAAAAACAAAACCGCTTGCCTCTGAACATCTCTCTCGTATGAAAATGATTGTCAAAGGAGTCACTAGTGAAAATAAGATAAGAAAATATGTTTGCTATAGACGTACCGTCCTACTTCTTCCAACAACAGAACACTAGCCCGAGGTCGGTCCTTCCAGCGCCTCCAGCTCACCGCAGGAATTCCCTTGGGCAATCCCGAGCTGCTCATCCCAGCCGACGCCTCCGGGGACCGCCCAGCTTGCCCGGGGTAGGAGAAGACCTCGATCCCGGCACGGCCGCCTGGGAGCTGCCCCGTGTCCATGTGCAGAGGGGACACGGGGCTCCCGCGGGGTCACCCCCGAAAGCTCCCCGGTCCCTGCGGCATCCCCGCCCTGCCCCGGCGCTACCCAAAGCGGAATTTCAGCCGGTACTTGACGGGGCCGGGGTTCTTCCGAGGCGGGGACGGGGCGGCCTTGGGCTTGGGCGGCGGGGGCTTCTTCTCGGGGAGAGCGACGGTGAAGGCGAGCTCGGGGGGCTGCGGCTGCCAGAAGCGGGGCAGGAAATGCGTGGAGACGTGCANCTTTGCCCCGCTTGTTGAGGGCCACGTACCACTGGCGGCCCGAGCGAGGGCTGCGGTGCACGGCCGAGGCGTAGGTGTTGTAGCTGTTCTCCTGGAAGCGCTCTCGGAAGTGGCAGTCCACAGTGAAGCGAGCCTGCGGGGACAGAGGGGACACCGCTGGTGAGGGCCTGGTGCTACCTGTCCCCCACCCCAAGGCTTGCTGTTCCCCGAAACCAGGCCCTAAGGAGCGGCTGGAAACGCGGGGCACCGACACCAAGGGTGCCAGGCACCCGGCTGTTGGGAAAACCCCCAGCGCAGATACTTGGCTAGCTGCTTGCCACCCAGGTTTGGGATTTTTGGGGGATAAAAAGCTGCCCCAGTAGTGCCCTTCCCTCCTGTCCCCTCTCCTGCCCCAGCACTGCCCTTCTCTCCAAAAAAAAAGCATTCCAAAACACAAGAGCAGAGCCTAGCACCCCAGCAGTGCGGCCACAGCCCTGGGACCCCTGGCTACAGCTCCCAGCAGCCCTTCCCAAACCCTCTGCCACACTTGAACCTGGTGATGGGCACGGTACCCGGTGCCCTAAAAGCTTCCCCAGCTCAATTTCACAGCAGCACCTCCAAACCACTGACACAGAGGAGATGCTGAGCCCTCCAGCTCTGAAACCAGCCACCGAGAGCAGGACCCAACCCCTGGCAGGGCTTTGTAACCACAAGAAAATTGCTTGAAAGCCCAAATTTAACCAAAGGAGTCAAGCCTTACAGCACAAGTGACAGAGCCCACAACCTGCCACGCACATTTTGTGCCTCACAGCACTTGGGATAAGGTCCTCATCATCTTGTTTCTTCCAAGGGACATCACCTCCTCAACTCGTTTTTGCTCTCCCTGTCTTGCATACACCGTCCCCGCTGCCCTCACCCCGTGCACAGGCCTTCACCTGCCCCAGCAAGGCTTTCCTCAGCCCTGGTGCTCCCTGAAGCCCAGCAGTGCTCAGGCAGGGTGCCCCGGGTGAGGAGGGAAGCCCCTGCCCTGCCCAGGGAAGCGTATCAACAGCTGCCTCACCATGATCCCATCAGACTTCCCCACGTCCCGGCCTCTTGGCTCATCACTGCACCGCTCCAGCCTGGAAAAGCCATTTTTTCCCTGCACAGGGCAGGCGGGGCAGCCACAGCACACGGCTGGCACCGGATTTTCTCTGCAGAGCTCCAGAGACAATCACCAAGAGCAGTCCTGAGGTCAATTAAATTTCAAAATCCGGTTGAGCAGAGATTTGCCCCAGCGAGGAACGCGGCTTTGCGGCAACTCCTGGAAAAGCAGAATTACCTGGGCAAATCTATCCCACGGGGGTCCGTGCTGGGCTGGCACAAAACCCCTCCCACCCTCTCCGTGCTAAAAATGGACAAACAGGAGAGCGAGGATTTATCAACGAGGAAAAAGCCATCTGTGCACGCAACTGATAATTGCCGGGATAACTGTCATTTTCTGAAGCTGGTGCCTCTAAAAATGAACCACTCGCTAATTTAATTAAGCTGACATAAAAAAAAAAAAAAAAAAAAAATAGAAGAAAAGAAAGAGGAGGAGAGCGTCTGTAAAGCATCGAGCCGGGATGGAGCTGAGGCCGAGAGCAAGTCCTGAAGGAGCCCAAATTCCTGCAGGAGTGACTTTTGTCTGTGGTTCAGCGCGAAGCCCCCCGGCCTGACTCCCGTATCAAAGCGCTGCCCTGAGTGACGGGCACAGGACGTGCTTTGTACTGCTCGGAACTCATTAGGCCATGAAATGACTTCAATCCTGCCAGCGCAGGAAAGAGCAGCAGATGCCGGGTTTGCATTATTGGCATTGTTTAGTCCGGCAATCTTTAGACATTTGGGTCAAGTTTCTACAAATTTGCAGCTTTCACCCGAGCGGGGCATCGTGTGTCCTCACCCCTGCCCTGACCCTCCTGGCTGAGGTCCCTCTGCGGCCCTGCCCTTTGTGTGTCAACAATTAACCGCGCACCAACGAGGCTTGATTTAATTTCTGCCTGTGCCAGGGCATAAATCAAGGCTTCAGCTTAGATAAGAGGCCCATTGTACGCCAGAAGAGAAGGCTCTGGAGGGTCCGGCAATCGCGCTCTGCCTGCTTCCCTCTCCTCTCCTCTCCGTCCTCTCCCTCTCCTCCTGCTCTGCCCCTCTGCTCTCACCTCCTCTGTTTTCCCCCGTGGAACCATTCCCCTTTTCCCATAGACCCCATTCACGCTCCTACTTCATTTCTTAAAGCCAGCAAGCACGTGCTCACCCTTTAAGCATCAATAGGCTTCAGGAGCAGCACTCCCAAAAGACCTAAGGGAGAGAGAGGCGAGTTCACAAACCTCCCTGGGAGCCATCTGTGACCTCGGGGCAGCACCAGCACCTCCCTGCCATCCGCTCTGGGAGCGGGGGGCTTGTCCGGCAGTTCCGGGGTGGGCAGCCGCCTTTTCCCTCTCCCCAGCCGCCAGCCCTGACCGGGCTTCTCTGGGAACCCCCTTCAGGGACAAGGGGCTGCCTTTAGAATGCCCTTGCCAAGGCACCTTCAGCAAGCGCAGGAGTTCCCTGTGTTTGTTTAAATGATCCCTGGAGCTAACAACAAACAGGGAAGCAACACCCCGAGGCTGAAAGCAGCAAGCGAAAACAACTTGAGGATTCGTTCGACACAGGGGGCTGGAAAAAGCATAACGAGAGCTGCAGGAAACCTCAGCCTTCGGGAGAACATCCTGCGGACGAGCCACCGGGGCTGTTCCTCTCTAGCTGCAGCACACCTGCGCGGTCTGGAGCTCACCTGCCCCAGCCCCTCCGGAGTTCTGGGTCCCCAAGGGCGAAGCCAGCCCGAGCCCCGGGGCTGCCGGCGCCAGGCGTGCTGCTCGCCGGGAGACATTTGGCTAAGCCCTTCTGCGGGATCTGCTGCAGGAGCGGCTAAAAATAACCCAGCCGTGCTCCAAGAGCAGCTCTGCTGATGCCAACACCCGGCTGCACGCAGAAAGGCGCGCCCTGCGCGCTCCGACGCACTAAGCGGGAAGGTGGGCTCGGGCTGGGGGGGCTTCAGCTCCGTCCGTGCCCCTCTGTCCCTGCCGGTGCCAGCCCGGGGGGGACACCGTGCCACGGCCCTGCCTGGGACTGTCCCTGTGCCGACACCTGCGGGTGTCACAAAGCCTTTAATAAACAACACGTACTGATAAGGGGTGGGGGGTTTACTTACACTTGCATGGAGTTTTCCTTTTTTTGACATCGCTAAAAATTTGTTGCTGAAAACTCCTCGTATTCCTACAATCCCCTGAGACACAGCAAATATTTCCAAAATACCTAGGATGACAGAAATCCCAAAATAAATCACAGTTCTTTTCACATCGGTGCGACAGAGAAAAAATAAATACAACTCAGTCTGACAGGTTTGCATTTCCTCTCCCACGTCCCTGCTCCTCAGCTGCCTGGCTCCACCCAGCTCCTGCTCCATCCCTCTGCCTCACAAAGCAGTCTCCATCCACTCTGGGACGGACACAGGGTGGTGGCTTGGACTGGTTTTTTTTTCCAAAAAAGTTCCATTTTGGGGCACTATTCCTGTCTGGGCTGTGGTAGAACAAGTGAACCCCCGGGGAAACCGTTCCCAGGGGTGGGAAAAGTCCCTTGTACCTACTCCAGCCTGCTGGGATCAGTCACCCACGCTCATCCCGCGGAGGCTGAGCTCGGGAAGTCGGTGTCCCGCAGCCCAGCTGGCACTGGGGGTACCCCTGCTGCTCCCTCCCACCCCTCCCTCAGCGCTGTGCAGCCCGGCCATGGAGAAAACGGGAGCTTCCCGAGCGTCGGGGGGGGCTCAGGCCCCTGGTGGGGCACGCAGGACCCGCAACTCATCTGGCGGAACATCTGCAAGCTCCGAGCGTCCCTCAGCCTCAGCACCGACACGGCACCTCCCCAAGGGGCACCTCGGGCCGGGCGTCCCCCCGAGCCCCCCAGCTCGGGGGCAGCACCGGCTCCCCAGCGGACCCCTCGCACCCTGGGGAAGCCGCACCGCTGCCCCAGCGGCTCCGCGGCCCCGGCCCCAGAGGAAAGAGCCCGCAGAGCATCTCTGCCGGCCCCCAAAGGGCTGTGGGATTAACATGCCAGGAGCCAACACGAAGCCACGCTAAATCCCCCAAGGCTGGGTATCAGATCACCACTTCCCATGTTTATTTTAAGGAGGAAGCACATCCCCCTGAGGCACCCAAGTGCCAGCACCCAGGGCCTGGGGGGCACCTTGGGGAGGGTTACAGGCCGCCCCGCCCCTGCAGCCCCACCACAGCCAGGCAAGCACCTTGTCACACCCCTGGGGCACCCCAAAACCTCCTGCCTCTCACGGGGGGGGGGGCTCTGCTGCTGTGGCAGGCATGTTCCTGGTTACTGGGGGGGTTGCCCGGGGTCAAGCCCCGTTTCCCAGGGACCAAAGCGGGGGTTTCCCTGCCAAAAGCCAACTTCTTCCTCCTGAGGGCCTCCTCACTGCAACAGCCCGGCACAGCCCCCCCAGCAGCGCGTCCCCAGCCAGGACTGCCTCTGCTCCGACGTGTGGGGCTGCTGTCGCTGCGGCCTTTCCGGGGGGGATATCTCAGGTTAAGGAGGAAGGAACTGCACATAATTCAGGTCTCTGCAGGACAGCTGTAGCGCCAAACTTGTGCCAGCCCTTCCAAACCCACGTCTCCCAACACAGCCGCGGCGTGGGTGCCCCACTTGGCTCCCCATCCTCTGAGCCCCTCCAGGCCACCGCACCCGTGAAGGCCAGAGCACAACTCCTGGGCTCTCAGCATTCCTGCCCAGGGGTCGTCCTCCCTCCTGGGGCCGCACCACAGTCTGGGCCCCAAATTCTTTGGTCCCCGGCAGATGCGGCGGCTGCTCCGTGAACGCTCCCAACAGCTGAGCCATGCTCGCTGCTGGGGTCACCTCGGGCCCGAGCCCTCGGGCTCCCCAGGAGATTTTTCATCCCCACCTGCCATTTCATTCCCTCTAGCAGGATATCATGGCAACTCCGACCAGAGGATAAGCCATGAGTTAGCACAGCTTTCTCTCAGGGGAACGTCAGCCTCAGTCCTATTTTTAAACTGAATGCATCCTATCGCTGTGCCGGGAGAACGAGAACACAGAGAGAGGGATGGAAAAGTCCCACAGGGAAAGGACCGAAAAGGGGCAGCATCTTCTCCCCCAGGTGCCTGGCAAGGGCTGTGCTGGGAGCGCAGACCTCACGCTCTCACACCATCCCCGGGGACTCACTTGCTGGGGCCGGGCGAACCCCCAGGTGGCACTTCCCAGAGGCAGGCAGGCAGGCAGGCAGGCAGGCAGCTCCCACGGAGCCCGCAGAGCGCAGCCCTCCCCCCGGCACCCCAAACGCCCCTTCTTTCCCAGGGCCGCAGCTCAGCCCGGGCGCGGGGCTCTGTCAGCCCCCGGGGGGCTGGGAAGAGCGCAGGGATGGGGATGCTGAGCCCCGGGAGCCCGGCCCTGGCGCGGCAGCCCCCCCAGCCCTCCCGGGCCCCACTCACTGAGCGGACTCGCGTCGTGGGCTCCGTCCACGCGGCCGTCGGGGTGCAGCTGGAGGTGGAAGCCGATGCCCAC